ATTTATTTTTCTTACCTTTACAGTTCGATTTTAACTGAATTTATCAGATTTGCTCAAGTTCTAATTCTAAATTGATCAAACCTGATCATTTTCTTTTAAAATAAAAAATTTACTTGGCCATAATATTTCAAAAAAATATCTTTTTTTTCTTTAGTCTTTACTCCACAAGCTATAAACATTAAACTTTTGTAAAACTTTTTGGTCCAACTTTATTCATTGACCACAGAGACATGCTGTATATCTTAAAGATTTCTAGTGCTCTCCCTTTAGTTCGTACAATTGTAGTAATACAGCACATCATCTGCAGTTATCCTTTAAATTAAACAAAGTTAAACACCTTGGTTTTTAACTTTATCTTGTTTTTTTATATGTTTTGAAGCTGTTATTTCTGCAACAATGTTGTCATATTTAAATATTGAGTGGGAATCATTGTTGTTTGAAACAGCAGCCACTCTGTTCATGCTGTCACATCACTGGATGCACCTATCATCAAATGGCCAGCCAATCCTGTGTTCAAGGAAACACTATCACCTTTGGCTTAAAGTGGATATTTACTTATTTTGTTAATTTTCCTAAGGAAGTTTTCATTTTAGTTAAGGTGAAATTAGCAGTTTCAAACCACAGTTACCCATTTTCAATTGAAACAAGAGGAAATTTGAATATCAATAAATGAGGAGGACTTTTCTACTCTTTAAATTTAAATACACATGTGGCTCCTAGTACATTAAATGATGAATTGTTGCCCTTTTTTGTATTATTTATGTTGGCTCTGCTGGTATATTTGTTCTAGAACCTCCACTGCGCTATGAGGATGTCTCATTCCTATATGGGAGCCCAATTCTGCCTCTCTGATTTAAAAAAAAGTTATACTGCATAAGGATAAGTGAGATATCTCGTAATAATGAGATTATGATTTGATTATGATGATGATGAAATCTCGTAATGGGAGAGTATCTCATAATTACCAAATAGGTTGTAAAATTAACTCCAGTTTAGTAGGACATAATGTTAGCTAGAATTAGACCACCACTTCTAGGGATTTTATGTGTCAGAAGAACTGCTGTGGTATTTAAACTATAGGAAAGGTAATGTAATCATACTTTTTTACATCATAAATCTTGGTCTTGTGTATATATATTTTTTATATATTTGATAATTCATTATCTGCATATGGAAGAAACCAAATAAAGCCTAAATAAATTAACATAACATATCCCAAAACATAACAATTATAAAAAACAGTTTATTATGTATTATGAGATAGTTAAATCCGAATTCTTTGATATACATTTCCTTTTTTTTTCATTGGAGAGTGGCATGATTGGGCTTCAGCAGCTTCCATACGATCTTGCTCTGATAAACAATTATTTCAATAAATCCAGTCTTTTGCTTTGAAATGTTATATAAATCCACTAATCAAGTGTCTTCTTATAACTGCTTGCTCAAAATTATTTTAGTTGGATCAAAAAACAATCAAGACAATTTAAGGAAATTGTCCGAATGTGAGCAGAACAAAAAAGGCAATAAAAAGATGAATTTAGGTAAAAGTCTATGGTAAAATAATTTCTATTGATATTTATTTTTCTGTGTATTTTATTTTATTTTTTGTAGCTTGTATTTCTGTCTTGCAGTGATTGTTGATTTTTTATTATCACAAAAATCAACAAAGTTAAACTTATAGACGGCCATCGGCTCGTTAAAACTCTTCGTTAAAACTGAGCCACAGCCAGCAGATATACTTTTTAATTTATTTATCTTAATAACAATAATTAGGTAAATGATTTCTGTAAATACAAAGAAAGATCAGAAACAAACTCAATGTAAACAGGGGCTAGTATAATGTCTTCAGAAAATAATATTTTATTGATTTAAAATTGACAAGAGATTTGTACAAATTGTGCCCATTCATTTCCATAGTTAATCTCAATTAACTTAAAATAATAATAAATTTCTTTCAAATAACATGCCATAATATTAATATCACTGATCTGTTTGTTTTATACCTGTAAAACTATATCAAATAAATTTAAAAGATGAAATGTTCTGACATTTCAAGAGATGTTCTTTATATGAGATTGAGCCAAATCCTGACATTTATGTCTCTAATGTTACGTAAACCCTTTTTTTAAATGAACCTTTACAATTTACTGTAAAAAATGCCCATAGAAATTAGAGGGAAGCCTAAATACTAAATTCAAAGTAAGAATATTTTTAGAAATCCAAAAAAAAAGCCCCAATATTTTTGAAATCCTGATGTTTTAAATCAGAACCAACTAATCCCTACCCATGATTTTAACTCTATTGAGGGATGCAAAGGAAATGTATTGATTGCGTGTTTAGAAGTACTTTTATGACAAAAAAAACAAATAAGATCTGAGCCCAAGTCATTCTCTTTCTCATCCTGTCACTCTTCATATCTGAATATTTCACACAAATGTTCTCTTTTAGGTAATGGTGTTAAGATCACTCTTTGTTCACCCTGAATAGTGAACTATTTGGGTTAAATGGAAGAGCAGGTTCTGTGTAGTTGAGTGAACATAGCCAAGAGCAACATTAAGACAATGCAACTTTGTTGGTTTCCTACCTAAACTATCTGAACTCTGAAACACCCCCTTATTTGCAACAATTATGTTACCCTAACCATGATAAGAAACCCTCTGGGTGTAAAGCTAACCAGTCTCAGAGCTGAAACCAGTGAACCACAAAACAATAAACCAACTGTCTTAATCGGATGCCTGTGGGTCTCTTCTTACCACATCTGTTCTAAACTATAACCCATAACATTTGTTCTTAACCCTGTAATTATGCAAATTCCAGCTCATTGGGGAGCAAAAGGGAAAAAGCAGCACTATATATAAGCTCAGCATATAACCTGCAGATCTCCCCCTTCATGTTGAAGAGCCCTTGCCTCTAATTGACCCTAAATCGTATTGGACCTCTGACTAAAACTTTAGAGCTATGTCAAGATGCCAAACAGACTGTGTGGAAAAGCCTCTGCGGATGTGCTTTGAGATGATGGGCAGTTTTATTGGCTCCCATCCCTGGTGGTTCCTGTTCGCCCCGCTCATAGTCTCCTCTGCTCTGGGAAGTGGCTTTTATTTCCTCCAGGACGGCATGTCCAATGACATTGAAGAACAGTTTACACCTGCTGATGGACCGGCCAAGATGGAGAGGAAATACGTGGAAGAAACCTTTCCAAGAAATTGCTCCATGTTCTCAAGTCTTAGGCTGAGCACCGCAGGGAGCTACGGTACTGTCATAGCAACAAGTGATGGTAATATTCTAACCACTGAGTTGCTTCACAACATCTTAGATTTGGACTTGAGAATCAGGAGCATGCAGGTGGAGTTTGGCAACCATTCTTTTGAATATGGAGACATCTGTGCCAAAGTGATGGACTCCTGTGCCTCAAGTGATTTCCTTGATATAATCGAATACAATGCCAGCAATGTGGAGTCTGTCAACTTAACGTTTCCATGGTATCACACTGATCGTAAATCTATACCTTTATACCTAAGCCTGGGTAGCGTGGAAGTTCACACAGAGACTTCATTTATTGAAAGCGCTAAAGCAGTGCAGCTTCATTACTACTTAGAGGGGAGCAACCATGCAAAGAATAACCTCTGGCTGGAAAGCTTTATCAGCTTGCTTTCAAACGAGTCATCATCTTCTCTCCAGGTAAGCAGAACATATATGTTTTTTCAAGAGTTTCAGGTTTGTTGAATGTTTTTTGCTTAATTTATCAACACTATTTTACTTTAGGTTTCATTTTCCACCTCAAAGTCAATGCAGTGGGAATTTGAGAGGTCTCCAGCTTCTGTCATCAATTTATTCTCCATCACTTATACCGTTGTCGTCACATTTTCAATACTAACTTGTTGTAGGTTGGTAAGAAGTTAGAAGAATAAATATTTTATGATTTCATGACAGCCGGTTATTGTAAATAACAGTTTTTTCTTTGTTAAGGTCAGACAATGTGAGGACAAAGGTTTGGGTGGCCTTCTGTGGAGTTCTCTGCACAGGCCTAGCAATTCTGAGTGGGTTTGGCGTGATGCTGTTGCTCGGACAACCCTTTGTCATGACAGCTGCATCCTGTCCTTTCATGATTTTAGGTGAGTAAAAAATACAAACAAGACCAGTTTTTTCTCTAAAGTCTGACAGGACGTGAATGACTCTTATTCCTCTTTGAACTTTCAACATAAAGGAATTGGGCTGGATGACATGTTCATCATGATTTCCTGCTGGCAGAGGAGCCGCGTTCTGGACACAGTTCCTGACCGAATGGGTGCGACCTACAGAGATGCGTCTGTGTCTGTCACCATTACCACCATCACTGATGCTCTGTCTCTCTTCCTGGGCTGCAGCTCGCCGTTTGGCTCCGTCCGATCCTTCTGTCTCTATGCTGGGATTTGTGTCTGCTTCTGTTATTTGTACAGCATCACCTTCCTTGGCGCGTGCATGGCTCTGAATGGACGGAGGGAAGCAGAGAACAGACACTGGTTCACCTGTGCCACAGTACCAGAGGACTTTCCAAGCGGATCTTCAAAAGCCTTCAGGGCGTGCTGTGTTGGGGGTGGTTACAATCGTACAACTGAGAAGGAGGAAACTGAACCCATCGATTATTTTCTTCAGCACTTTTTAAGTCCGTGTCTCTCCCACAAAGGGTATAAAGTTTTCGTGTTTTTGTGCTATTCAGGCTATTTGGTTTTAAGCATCTATGGCATTCACCTGCTTAAAGAAGGACTCGACATCAAGAACCTTGCTTTAGATGACTCCTACCTCATAAGATACTACAATCACCAAGAGCAGCACTTCTCTAAATACGGCTACAATGTGATGGTGGCAGTGAAGCAACCCATCTCTTACTGGGATGACGATGACCAGAGGGATCTAAACTCATGCATTTCAGCTTTTAAAAACTTGAACTTTGTAAACAGCACTCTCGCTTGGTTTACTTCTTTCAAACATTATGCAGGCACTTCTAATCTGAATATTAGCTCAAAGGAAACCTTCTTCTCCCACTTGGCTAACTTCCTGGAGCTTAACCCAATGTTTAAACTAGATCTTAATTTGACTTCAGGAAAAGCCATTCAGGCTTCTCGTTTTTTTCTTCAAACATTAACCCACTCCCCGTTGAATGAAATAATGACTGAATTCAGGAGAACTGCAGAGGACTGTCCCTTTAAGCTGCTGGTTTACCACCCTGCCTTTATCTACTTTGACCAATACATGTTTATCTCAAACAGCACCATTCAGACCGTCCTTATTGCCGTCTCTGCAATGCTGCTTGTCTCTATCATACTGATACCAAACCCCCTTTGTTCCATTTGTGTGGCCTTTGCAATTTGTTCAGTAGTTGTAGGCGTTGTTGGGTTCATGTCACTGTGGGGGGTTAGTTTGGACACCATTTCCATGATCAACCTGATTATGAGCATCGGATTCTCTGTGGATTTCTCGGCGCACATTTCATACGCCTTTGTTTCGAGTCCCAAGGGGGATGTGGACCAGAAAGCTGCAGAGGCTTTGAGCCACCTGGGGTACCCTATAATGCAAGGAGCGCTGTCCACCATTCTGGGTGTGGTGGTGTTATCGATGTCTGGGAGCTACATTTTTAGGACCTTCTTTAAGATTATGTTCCTCGTGATAAGTTTTGGTTTGCTCCATGGCCTTGTGTTCATTCCTGTGTTTCTCACACTGGTTGGTGCTTTTATTAAGTTCTAGCAGTGTTATACATTTATTGTCCTGGTTGAGCCTAATAGTATGATAAAGGATGCTGCATGCCCAACATACACAGTAGCTTTCAGGCATTATCTTTAGTCTCATTATTGTTCTATTCAATATTGTAGTAAAATGTAT